AAAAAAAAAAGCTTCAAAAATATAAAGTACGCAGAATAAATCTAATAAAAGCTGTAATAGCTCCTTCAATTTGAAAGTCTCTGGTTGCCCTCTCCCACCCAGAGCTTTGTGTCCTGATCACAGTGTTACTAGAGATTTTTGTCCTCAGGAAAACCCCATTCATCCTGTATGCCCACCACTCACAGCTTCCAACTTTCCACTCCAGCTCTTGTTTATTCCTTTCTTGGGGAGAGATTGGGTGATTCTTGGAGATTTCCTCCTGCCAAGCTCAGTAAGATGTTCCCCAAAGTATCTAGTCTGTCACATTGTAAGTGGAAACCCCCTAAGTGCTTTGGTATTGCTACTACTACTACTACTACTAATACTTTGGATAATAGTAAGTATATTTCTTTTGTCTTAACTATTAAAAACTTCAGATTGTTGTATGCGATAATGGTCATTTATTCAACAAACATATCAGTCATTCATTCTGTGAGCCAAGTGTAAACTAGTAATATGAAAATTAGTAAAATACGGTTCTTTCCTAAAGGAGCTAATTTTTTCCTGAAATGTTTCCCAAGCTCATTTAGTCATAAGAATCACCTGTAGTACTTTTAAAACAATGCAACTATTCAATGTCCGTCTCTGGAGATTGTGAATCAATAGGGTGGGATCTGGAGTTGATCTTTTAAACAAATACTGCACATGATTCTGCTGATCAGGCAAATTTGGGAGACACTGGTCTAATGCACTACCATACATCGTCTCTCTCCATTTTTTTTTCTAACTTTCCTTTTCTATTTGGACCAACTATTTAAATGTAAGCAATTGTATTTCCAGTGATTGTTAGGGAACTTGGCTTGTTCCCTAAAAAAAGCCTGGCAATGAGCCGGTGAGGATGAAAACTTCAATTCATAATTTCCTTTATGCCACTGTAAAATTCACGGAGTTTAAGTAGCATCCCCAAGGTAGAAAGTGGTGGAGCTGCAACCTGTGCTAGGCACTTGAACTCCGCACTCAGATCACACCATCTGCTCATTTGGCACTGTGCAGCCTTTCCAAGGATACTTCTAGGGATGAACATCTCCCAGCTTTAAAAAAGAGCCCCTTTCTATTGTTGGACACCTCTAATTTCTTCTAGTGAACCAGAATCTTTCCTCCTATATATTTCTCATATTGGTTTTAGATCTGCTTTCTAGAGCAGGAACTGCAACCCAAATTCATTCAGGTTCAGGCTAGCATAAAGCAACAATTGAATGCAGGTGTTTTAAAACATTTGTCTGTTGGCCATAGCTGGTTCAGTCTTTGGTTTGCAATATCGTATGTTTTAGGTCAGTCTCCGTCCTTACCACCTCTTTGCTAGCCCAGAGCAGTATGTGTTCTTGGACAAGCTATTTAACCATTTTGAGACTCAATTTTCTCATCTGTGATTTAAGGGTAATAATACTTACTGCATTGGTTTTTAGGTAATGTTATGTAGGATTCTAGGTATTCAATGAGAGGTAGTTGTTTTTTGTTACCTTAGTTGTATCTAAAGGTATATACGTTAAGTATATTGTGTTTCTATAACTGCATCTGAATCTGTTATTACACATCACATATGTTTTCAAATAAAGAAAGAAGTAACTTACCTTGTTGAAATGACTCGCTTTTAGAAAAACTTTTTAATTTTGCTTCTAATGTTCTCATCCTTTTCTTAAATGTGTTACCGTTTGATTTATAAGATCAAAGCCGTATTCTTTGACAAGTGTTGATTAACTCCGAGAATTATATTTTCAAGCTTATGAGTATATTGGCATTTCTAATACTATTATAAAGGTGATCTTATTTCTATTTTCAGCATTGCAGGGGGTCGGATACTCTCAGTGATAAAGATGCAGTTGATTAAAGGCCAGAACAGCAGGGATCCTTTTTGTAAAGCAGTAGAAGAAGTTGCTCAGGATTTGGATTTGAGGATTAAAAATGTTATCAGTTCTCAACAAGGAGATGTAGCTGTTAGCACCACTGACATCAGTCCTGCCCGGGTAATGAGCTTTTTATTTATTATCCTTCTGTATAAAACATTTTCTCTTCTACTTGTTGTTGAACTGGTTTGCTGTTGCTACTTAAGTCAGAAGAATGTGTTTCCTGTGTTATGTTTTTGAAAATTTAAGTTTCTCAATAGGATTATGTAGGATTATGTTTGACTTGGGAAAATCATAACATCTTTGGACCAAATTGTCTGTGTTTGTTAAAGTAGGGCATTGGATAATCTTCAATATCCCTTCGAGCACTAGAAATTTATAATTCTCGGTGGATATTAAGATATTTTGTCATATATTTCAATAATTATTCTTATAAAACAATTATTTTCCTATTTACTCAGATATAAAATAAGAGCCTGGTATCTCTGGTTCTGACCCCAGTACTAGGCACTCTATAGAACAGCAACAGAAATGGTTTCTATTCAGTAGTTTATTTTTCTTTAATAGAATTTTCCTATCTCTATAATTTCTTATTTTCTATGTCCATTGCCAGCACACTGCAAACATTAGGAATTTCTGCATAGTTAGAAATCTTTTAACTCCATATTCCTAGAACATTCACTTCTTTTTTTTTTTACATAATCAAACATTATATAGTATTATAACTATAGTATTATGTGAAAAATTGACTACCAAGTTTTTAGCTCTAGAACACAATTTTAGAGTATGTATTTCCATTCGTTGCAGTTTATTCAAGTAACAAAAGCTTCTTTTCATTAGGTGTGATTGTGATAGCCAGTGTCTAAAGAAAGACTTTTACTTATTTTTTATTACTTATTTATTCATAGTCCCTGGGGACTATTTTTAGCTCTTTTTCTATAATAGTGCATGTTTTTAGATTAATTTGCTGGGGTAGATTCTGAGTTGTTGCCCTATGTATCCCATGTATGTTAACACTTCCAGTGACTAGGTTGGCTCAAATGACAACCAGATTATTACTAGAAGTATAAATCAGAAATTGTCACAACTCAGATAATTAAGAGCATCAATCTCTCTCATTTCTTGTCACAAGAAATAAAAATATGAATGACTTCGTTCTTAATAGTATATTTTCAACCAGATCAGAAATCTTTGAAAAATATATCCCAGTAATTCTCAATGAAGTTAATATTAGAAAATGTGGACTTCTTTGGTGCTAAAGAAAAACATTTATGTTAAGCACCAGATTATGATAGGTAATTTGTTAAAATTCCACTGTGGCTATACATTATAGATCACTGGGTGCCCGAGCCTGAGTCAGCCAAGTAGAGAAAAGAGGCCAAGACCATGGTGATGAAAGTTGAGGAAAGTGTCCTAGCAAGGGCAACTTTGATATCCAGGCACACTGTTCAACAACCTTATTGGTTAGGCACTATATCATTACCCCTGTTTTACTCGTGATTTAACAGAAGCATATTGAGGTTGAGCAACTTTCCCAGGGTTCTGTAGCACACAAAACTAGTAAGTTGGCATCAAACCCAGTCAGAAATGCTCCAGAGTTTGTATTTACATGTATCTATATATAATGTTATATTTTTCCTTATTCTATCTAGTCACTTCTTTTAGTTCTCCTGTTTTACTCTACTTTTTTTTTTTTTTTTAAATCTTCACTGCTACTCTCTTCCAAACTAGACTGTTAATCTCTTAATTTGTCATCCTGAATCCAGATTTAATAACATTCTTACCTTGGAATATGTTTTACACATTGCTATAATTTTTCTAAAATCTAAATAGGATTGTTTTATTTCCATCTTAATAAACCAAGAGACTTTAACTCTGTAACAGACTGACATAACTTCTTTGCCCCACATCAAAGCTTTCCCAGACTCATCTGACTATCTCCCTCTCTGCTACCCTGTTGTTCAGCCATATTGTGCTACCTTGTCCCTGAAGTTACCAACTACCCCTTTATTTCTCCTTCATGGAGCTATCCTTGATTCTAAGGTAAATTGATCACAACCTTTTGTGTGCTCCCTCTGCACCATGTATGCATTCTGTTAGATGTAGCACTTAGCAAACTCCGAAATGCAATTATTGATTACTTATTAATTTTATCAAGGAGACTGAGTTTCTTGAGGCAGCATTTACCTTGCAGCCTTAGTTTCAAACACACTGCTTGAGACTTAGTATGTACTGATCAGTGATTACTGAATAAATGATTGTCAACTAGCTTTTCATTTTTATATTTAAGCAGATATTTATAGCCATCTATGGGGTTGGTATTAAGATCACCAGAACCCCATCTCTCTTTGGTATAAAAGAGAAAAAATACACACAGAGGATAAGTCATGAGGCCAAGGTCACATAGCTAGATAGTAGTTACATTTTCTGACTTAACACCTAAAGTTATTTTGGCCAGAATCTAATGTCTTCCTATGATGATACTATTTTTTTGTATTCTTTCATGCTTCTGGAAGTTGATAAGATTGATTTTAGGATGACTTGAGGGAGAAATATTCATGTGCCTTCAAATCACTTCTCGTGGCTGATTTTTTATTACCTTAACAACATAGGAGGAAGGAGAACAGTGGTAAATGAAATGGAAAAGAGTGGCTGATTGACCCAGCTGGGGTGATTATGATCATTACATAAAATTATTTTTTGTTCTAGCCAAAATCTTATGCCATAAATCATGGCACAGCATATTGTGGCAGAGATACTGTGAAAGCTTTACTAGTTCTTTTGGATGAAGAAGCTGCCAGTGCTCCTACCAACAACAAAGCAGAGCTTTTATATGATGATGAAGACGCAAGTCATTATAATGGAACTTCTATTCTTACACTTTTTAGGTAAGTAATGTGGAAGTTATATGTATGTGAATGTTAATTCTAGTCTATAAAGGGAATTTTTGAAAAAGTGCCTCCTTGATTATAAAAGAAATACATGCTATGGTAGGAAAAACTTGGAGACTACAGAAAAGTGTGAAGAGGGAAAACAAAAGTTAGTTAAAAGGAGATTGAACATTTGAATGTGAGGAAGTTCTATATAAAAAGATAGTATTTTGTAAGAGTATGACAGGTTTTACTTGTTCTTGTTTTTTGCTTTGAAAATATTTATTTGCTTTGCTATGTGTGACAAGAACTTTGCTAAATGCTTTTACTTGTATTATCTCAGCCCTCATAACAGCTTCTTTTAATCATAACCTCACTTTATAAGTAAAGAATTAGAGACTTGAGAGAAATATTATAATTTACTAAGAGAGCTAAATTAGCAAGCAGCAAAGTGTCTTCCTTTAAAGCCTGGGGTCTCTGCTCCAAGGACTGTGCTCTTCTGTCTGAGAAAAAGAGAGAGCATAGCACCAAGTTTGCACTGGAATTGACATTTACTGGTTCTTCCTCAAATTATGAAGAAAAAGGCTTACTAACTTAGTGTTGATATTCTGTTCGAGACATTAATACTCTTCAGTTTTAACAACAATTAGGTCAAAATTTAATAGGTCGTTGATATTTTTAATTAATGAGCATTCATTTATAAACATTAAAAATTTCAGAACAACCATTTTAAATTATATTTAGTTCAGTGCAGAGAATTTTTACAGTCAATCCTACCATTTGATCTTTTCTATTTTCTGCTTGAGCTACTTTTTAGAAATCTAATTTAGTCTAAAATTGTTCCTATCCATCCATGATTGCTTCATGCACTCTCCTGTGCCTCTCTGTCTTTTCTCTTTAAAGAAAAATTTTAATGGTCTATCATTCAGTATTGTCTTCTAATTCCTTTAAATCTCATCTTCTTCACCAGCTTTCCATAATTACTGTTTTATATCCAAGCATAATATAATTCTCCCACATTCACCTTACAAATGCCCAAATATTTTCCTAACAGTAGAAATTTATTTTATCAGTCATTAACTTATATCCTGTGTTGGAATCTCAGAAAAGAATATAAAGATTTGTGCTTTTTTTTTTTTCTCCTTTTACTTCTGTTTAACAAAGTTTTCTTTTAGGTAAGAATATAAATGATTTAAATTTTCTCTCAGATTTAATTCTGCCATTTTCTTAAAGAAAGTTATTTCGTGTTTATAGTATAGAATTTTCTAAGACAAAATTAATCCTCACATCTATTTCAGAGAGGTATTTTTCTATATTCCATCATGTGGCCAGATACATTTCAGTTGCTTACAGTTACCTGGGCACTTCCAATTGTCATTGTGCAGACAAGTACCAGTCCATAGCAAAGTAAATTTTTAATGGTCTGCATTGCAATGATAAAATTAAGGACAATGTGGCATATGAATATAAGCCAATGTAAGGTTATAAACTAGTCTTTCTTAGAATAGACTGTTCTTTATTCTTATATAATGGTCTTTTGAGTTGAGGGGATTATGAGTCTGGCTCTGTTGAGCCGAAAAGTAATTTATTGAGGAGCCAGGTTTGTCTGGCTCCAAAGCTCCATTGTCTTCTTCTCTGTTGTGCCCTCTCTGACCCTCCTATTTATAAACTATGTTTTTTTCTTTTAAATTCCTCTGCTTTGGCACTTGTCCTTTTTTATTTTGACTTATAATTAGATGGATGTCTTATTTTTTCTTACTTAGACTTCAGGATGCCTGAATTCAGGGCCAATGAGTGAATGAACTTTATATCCTACACAATATCTTTTTTTTTTCTTTTAATTTTTAATTAAGTTTATTGGGGTAACATTGGTTAATATGATTATATAATTTTCAGGTATACATTATCATTTGACAACTGTATATTCTATTGTGTGTTACAATATCTTATAAAGTGCTTTATATATAGTAGAAGTTCAAATATTTAGTGATGGAATTAAGTAAGCAAATTATTAATATTTAGACCTGGCAGAATAGGAATATTGATGTTTTTATATAGTATTATCAACAATTAAATTCTGTTGTCTTTTATTCTGTAATTGCTTTTGGGTAAGGGAGGGGCGGAAACTAGTTTAAAAGCTACTTTGGTTTATACATTTTTGCTCTTTTGGGACATAGATCTCCAAAACAAGTGAATAATTCATCGATGAAACCCCTAAGAGAACGCATCCATAAGTCAATGCAAGAGAAAAAACTTGAGGTACAATTTAATGTACTGTCATGAAAATGATAAAAATTGTTTAATTTTTAGAATAAATAAATATATAATGCTGAGCGGGATATTGTGAATATGCATTGTACATGGAACAATAGAAATTAAATGGAAGATGAGTTATGACAGCTGACCTACAGAAACTTTTCTTTTATGCAGTTTAGGCTAATCTCTTGTGGCTTATTCAATCCACTGGGTCTAAAAAGGAAAGAAATAAGCACGTGCTATGATAAATTTTCAGTAAATATCTGTTCAAAGGAAAATCAGGAAACATGTTTCTCATTTACATTTCTAATATCTTAAACTGAATCTTGAGAGACTATCAATTTCATTCCTGTCTGAGGACTTAGGTAGTGTAAAAAAATAGACTGCTGTAACTGTGGTATTTTTGTAAGCAGTGAGGCAGTCCAATACTCATGATGTTAGAAAATTTATTAGATATCCAAGTTTAACCTTTAGGGTATTAGACACCTCTGAGTATATCCAAATTAAAATGTTGGATCGAGTTGAACTCATAGAATAATTTCCCTCCCCTCAAAATGATGCTTAAAATACATACAGTAAATTTCAGAAACTATGGCCAAGGAAAGAAATTGAACACTTCAGAGTAAAGAGGCACAGCATAACTAGCCCCAGTCCCCAGATAGTGTACTAGTGAGTTGAGAAAATACTGAGAATTATCACTAATATTTTCAAAACTGAGAAGCCAACTTAAAGTGTGTTCCTTTTTTTTTTTCCCCTTGTCAAAGAAATAGTAGAAGTGGCAGCTGGATAGTAATGTGGATAAAATGTGGAAAATGAAACCTGGGACTTACATACTTACACAAATGAAGGCTCTAGTGCTATTAACTTACTACTTATTGGGGAAATTATCCAAATGATCTCCTTTTATTTGAATGAAATACAGTACTTGAGTGGGGGGAGTGAACTTCCTTATAGTACGTACAATACATAATAAATTCTTAGAAGAGAGTGTGGAACCCAGAAATTTCTTTAAATTGTCTATAGCCTCAACTGGACACTACTCCTGCCTCTACCATTCCTCAGGCTACAGAAAAAAATGAGGGATAACAAAGTATTCAGCCTTCAAAATATAATTGAGAAGAAAATAAAATGCTCTCAAAGAGGGAACAGAATCAAGAAATCACTCACAGATGTGGAGGCTTCTGTTTCTAACTAGGATATAGTAGGTCATAGCAGGATATCATTTCTGCTACAAGAACAAAATAAAAGGCAGATAAAATGGAGAAAATATATTTTAAAGACATAGGAAAGCTATGTAAGCAAAGCAGTTTAAATAAACTAAAAATCTAGAGAGGGCAAAATTCTTCTAAGGTGAGCAGTCTATTATCAGCTATTTTCTTCCTTGGGATTGTTTGCCAGTTTTTTTGGGAGGTGAGGAAAAGAGGAACCAACAAAGATTTTGAATGTCTTGAGGGGTTGACAACAATTTGGAAACTTCAAGAGCCCTGAATTCACTTATTTTTATCTGGTACACATATGCTGAATTTTGGAGCTGAGTCAAAGGCTACGGCACCTCAATCCAGTAGACTGACATCATAGTGCTAATATTGTGGTCTTGAGGTAGCTCGAAGACAAGGCTCTGCTTGAGGAGTAAGACCTGCCTGAAACACATGGCTGTCTTCTTCTCAAGATATTTGCTACAATTGGAAATGAAGTGAGATGAGAGGCTAACGAGCACACTGTAAAAACCTCTGAAGGGCAGACTGAATCCGTAGACTTTCAGGTCAGAGGTGATAGAGATACACAAGACTCTCAGTTGAAAGTCTGGGAGGGATATTCCTGAGGAAGAAGTAAGGGCCAGAAGTTGAATATCAGCTATGACAACTATAACCCACCTCAGCCTGTGACTGCACTGAGTTTATCAGCTCTTCACTGCCTAACGGAGGCAAGGAGAACCCTTCTAGATAGAAGGCCCTTCATCCAGATCCTTATAGTTCCTTTATACACAATATCCAGCATGAAATAAAAATATTCTGGACCGGAAAGAATAATCAAGAAGGAAAAACTAACAATAGAGGCAGACTCATAAATGATCCAGATATTAGAATTAGCTGATGAGGAATTAAAAATTTTTCAACATGTAAAAGTAATTAGAAGAAAAGATGGGCAAAATAGATGAAAAATTGGGGAATCCCAAGAGAGAATTAAAATCTATAAAACAGAACCAATTAAGAACTGTAAAAACATTATCTAAAATTACAAACTCATTAGATGAGTTTATTAGTAGACTAGACATAGCATTAGGTAGCATGTGTGGACTTGAATATAGGTCATTAGAAAAAAATCAAACTAAAGCAAAGAGAGAATAAAGAATAAAAAACCAAAGGAGGAGAGAAAGGCACAGAGAAAGAGTCTACATTTTGCCTAATTGGAGTCCCAGAATGAGAGGAGAAAATTGGGTGGAAACACTATTCAAAGATAAAATGATTGTAAGTTTTTTCAAAGCTTAATGGGTCCTTTCACATGGTTGTAGTTAGAAGTCACGGGGAACAGATGCAGGTTTCTTTTTAATACAGAGTTGCTTAAGGGTTCCAATGTTATGAACCTAGCAAACAAAAAATGTCCCAGAGTCTTTTGAGAATCCATTTGTAGCACAGAAAAGTGCCACAGGACATAGATTGTAAAGCTTTGTTCGAGAGCAATGCTGTCCAGTAGAATTTTCTGTGAAGACGTTCTGTATTTGTGCTACTACTGTAGGTGCTAGCCGCATTTGGCTGATGAGCACTTGAAATGTGGCTAATGCAATTGAGGAACTGGATTTTTAATTTTAATTCATTAACTACATGTGGCTTGCATATTAAACAGTTGCAGTTCCAGTGGATTAGAGATACCCACAAATGCAATAACTAGAGACCCGAAATAAGTAGAGGAAATGGTGCCCTGACCATGAGAAATTAGAATAATAGAATTCGAATAGGCAGTGAGAATGGAAGAGAGCATTTCCGACTCAGCAAACAACCTGATGAAAGCATTAGATTGCCTTAATAGTATAAAGCCACTGTGTATTGGCTTTATAAATAAGTGAATAAATAATGTGGATTAAGGAAAGTGTGGCTTTTGTGGTTTTAAGGAATAGTTACTTTTTGTAAGGCTTATTGTAAGGATAGGTGCATGAGAACCAGAGAAAGGTGGAATATTTAAGAACTTGAAGGGAATGGTGGATATAATGGATCTTAAGAACTTCAGTTGCATGGTTCTCTGTGTTTATATGTGATTTAGCTTTCCTCTGCATGTATACCTCTCTCGTTTCTGTACCAAATGGTTTCATTACTTTTTTTGAACAGAGTTTACTCTGTACATGTTTTTCTGTCTCAAAGCTTTTATCTTTTCAGTGATTTAGCTATTTTTTGTGAGTTTATTTCTCTCATTTCTGTATCATGTAGTTTTCTTACTCTACATTAAAAGAGTAGAATTTATTCTGTACATCTTTTTCTACTTCCTAGCATTTGCTTACTTGTGTTTCTGTTTCCTCAAACCTTGCACTTGCATACACCTGTTATAGTCTAATTTTACTTAATTCAATTAACAAGCATGTATTAAATGCCTCTTGGATACCAGGGTCTGTCCTAGGCATTGACGATATATCAGTGAACAAATCAGACACAAACCCTGGTTCTCATGGACAAGTCTTTCTCAAATATTTGTGGAGCCAGGGTGCAAGAATTTAAATAGAAGCCTCCGACCTACTCCTCTACCCCTTCAACCCTGGTTCTGTTCTATACTCTTAGGGATACTCCACCAAGAAGTGTACACACCCACTTCCCATCACTCTTGCTGTAAATAGTCATCCCTTGAGCCTAGAGGAAGAGACCAGTGCCAGCCCAGTGCCTAGGACAGTTTGGATAGAGAATTCTGGTGTCCCAAGTACTTGGAACAGGATCTAGAAGGGGAGGCATTATCTCCTAGTGGGCATGTCCGAGGCCCTGTGGATTCTTCACCCTATGGGGATAGGAAGGCCACTAGTTAGTTGCCAGACTAAGGGTTTTGTTCATGGAGCTTACATTTCAGTTGGGAGAGGCAGACAATAAACAAAACGAACAAGTGAATGATGTGGTGTAGTAGAAGGTTATCAGTGCTATGGAGTGAAACAGTTGGGAAGGAGAATAAGGAGAGTGTGCTCCTTCGTGTGTGTTTTGGTTTAAAATAGGATCATCAGTAGATGTCTCTTTGAGAAGGTGACATTAAGAAAAGACTTTGAGTAAGTGAGCAGCACTCTTTGTTAGAATGAAAATGGGATGTTTGCATTAGACTGAACTAGACATTCAATTAGAAATTGAATTCATTTTGGCTGGAGTAATGAATTTGAGTACCTGCTAAGTGTCAAGTGTTATACTAGACAGACATTTTATATCCTTCATCATAATTAATCCTTGCTCAACTCTAGAAGGCATAATTTTCCAGACCATATAGCTAGTAAGAAACAGAGCAAGGGTTTGTATTCAGGTGTAAGACTTCAAAGATTATGCTGTTCCTAAAGAGTAAATAAAGGCATAGTAATTATAATGTAGAGTCATAAAAAGGTAATGCTACTACTTAAGTCAAAAATACTATCTGCTATTTAGCAGAATTAATGAAGTTTCAATGATGAATAAATGGATCCTTTGATATATTTAAAAATTCATGTCATTATGATAACAAATCTCTGTTCTTTTGAAAATATAATGTAAGAATGAAAATGAAATTTAGAGTATTTATTTTTAGTTACATATTTAATAGGTATGTAGAGAATAATTTCCTTTTTTCAAACTTGTTGATCTTTTTATCAGTATAATGGAGGCTTAGAACTTTCATTTTCTTATTAATATAGCTAACTGAGAATGTCTGTGACTTCTCAATATTTTTGACTCATTCTTCTTAATTTAACTGGAGTCAGGCTTTCCTATGTGAAGTACTATTTTCCTCAAACTGGGAACCTACTAATAATTTCAATTTAAAAAGAACTTGTGGCAAAAGGAGTTTTCCAATTCTTGGCAAGTTTGAAGTTCATTGCAATTTTACTGTGGATAGAAATCTTTCCAAAGGGGGGAAATCACTCTACAAAGGAAAACTTTCAATCCTTTTCTCTCGTGTGACGAACATAAAATGATTTTAACAGCCATGTATGAATCTGGACATTATTCTCAGTTGTTTAGTACTTCAAAAGCACTTTCAAGAGATAATTATATTGCTTATTTGTGATTCCAAATCAAATACACAGAGAGATTTGGAAGATTTGCAGCAGGAAGTAATCTCAACTCTATGTAGCCAATAATCTTGTGCAGAAAAATTCAACTTTTATGAACAAGGGAAAAGCATTCTCTTTTAAGTTATAAATACAAGCCAGTGTAGTTTGTATTGTTTTTTTAATAACTAAAACGAAGATGCTGATTGTAAGTTCACTTTTTGAATTATATTCCTAGAATCATTTTAGAGTTGGTCTGGTCCTAAGAAGTGTTAATTCAACAGATTTCTTACTCTACGTGTTGTCATATATGTTATTGCATTAATAACTTTATAGTATCTACATAGATCTCTAGATTTTGTATAGCCCTTTCATATTTTTAACTTCATTTAATCTTGACAATTTTGTGAGATAAATATTATTCCTGTTTATGTGTGGATGAGTGAGAAATTGAGAGGTTTACCCACAATCATCTAGTTAATAAGAGTGATAGGGCCAGTATTAGAAGCCAGGTGTTTTGATTGCAAACCTGGTGCTTTTCCCATCATATCATTGGTTTTTCTGCAGATTTCTTAGCTGGACATTACATTATTGCCTCCAATCAAGTTCATGATCAATTAAAATCTCTAGATCTTTTTCATATGGTTCTCCTCATCCTGTACATCTGTAAATGATATTTTGAACTTAAATACAGGACTTTGCTTATTCTTATTCATTTTCATCTGATTATTTTCTACTTACAATTCTAGCCTTCTTAGGTCTTTTCAATCTTGATTTTGTTATCCAATTTATTTATTATTCCTTCCAGCTGTGTCAAGAGCAAATTTTATAAGTAGAATGTCTTCATGATTGTAGAAGCTGTCTGAGTACTCTCTTTAGTATGCTGTGTGCCTATCACATAGTTGGAACTTAATAAGTGGTAATTAATAAAAAATAATTTTGTATGGGATAGGGAAAAGAAAACCCACATACAATGTTTTATAAAAGAAAAAAAAATATCCTCCATATAACTACTCCCAGTTTTTTCTTTTGGACATAAATATTCCAAGATTACCATAGAATTATTGTGGTACTCTCTTATATTTTGATATGCTTATATATAATATTTTCATGGTAAATAAAGCGGCTAACTATTTTCCTTTCATATACAATCCCATTCTTAGTATTTTAAGAAGCTATTGCATTGCAACCTAGTTTTCTGAAATTGCCCTGCTGTCACTAGGGCTAGAGAATTTCTCAATGTAGGGTTTGGAGAGTAGAAATCTAGTTGAAATGAAGTCCGTGGAACTTCGTGACTATTTACATAGCAAAGAAAAGTTTTTACTTAGATGTATGTTAAAAATTAAGGAAAATAACAGCTTTCTAAAGAAATTTTTGTTCATACTAAACGTGAGATTGAGAAATCATCAATTGTCTGTACTAAATATAATTATTGGATTTTTATTTGGTGTTTTATGGGTGGTACTGATGAAGATTTTGTGGTGAGAGGTTAAAGTCCCTCAAGCCACCTGTCACTATCTGGATACTATGGGAGTCATTCTAGCCAGCCACTTCGCATTCATTTGCCTTCATGGGCTTACCATTCTGTTTATAACTCTGTAAGCAGTAAGTTTATAATTCTTTATAAGCAACAATTTTGGTGAAATGAAGGAAAAGTTGTGTGAAAATGTCAACAGTATTGGTTTTGCGGAAAAGTTTTTAGATAACTTTACTATAATAATGGTGTGATGTAATATAAAGTTGATTCTATTAACAAATTCATTGAGTAGCTTTATCAATTGCTTTAATTCGGTATTTATGGAATTAATAAAGTCCAGAAAGGGCTAGTTAAAACCTTCAGTTATATTTCAGAGCATCTCATGGTGGAAACTGTATAATAGTAGCTGCATTCGTGTGGATTTATGAAGATATGACTTTGTAGTTCCATCCATTGTCGAGCCTATTCTACTTAACTTTAAAAAAAAGAATTTTGATCTTTTACATTTTCACATTTTTTTTCAATTTTGTGTATTTTTGTGCCTAAATGGAAGAGAACAAACTCCAGTGGCCTAAATATTCAAGCAAATTAAACATGATTTTTAGTGATTGGGGAACTGGAGATTTTCATAGATGTCATTGATCAGAAAGATATAAAATCTGTCACCCAAAGAAAACTTGCTTTTATGATTAGTTGTACTGGAGACTATTCTAATTTCTTTTAAACCATAGTGGATTTCCCTGCCGTTATTTTTGCAAACAGCTGAGTGAGTTAATGTAGTGATATCTCTGAATATATAACATATGACTACTGAATATATAATATAAAGTTGTGCTGTTTTAGATTTCATGAACTATATCAATATTCTGTAAGTAATCTTTAACATCATGTACTTTAAAGTGTTAAAGTCCTCTTATTCAATCATTTATTTGATATTTAAACTTTATTTTTGAAAAGGAATTAGATGATTCTGATTTAGAGAAATCTCCCCCTTATAACTGAATGGCGTTGCACATCAGCTGTAACTGTTAAAATTTGCATTATCTGTATAGATTACTTTGTTCTGAAATTAATTTCTACCTCCAAAACAACTACTAGTTTTGTGTTTGCAGAATACATTCCCAAAACTGCTTTCTTGGCATCCCTTTTAGTGGTTAAGAATTAAATTTAACTTTCTAATTTCCTCTTCTTTGAAGATAAATGCAAGAGTATGTTTTAGATAGTCACCCATTAAATTACTTGATCAAATCTTAACTAGAGTGATTATTTGAATCATCTTTCTTATTTTCCTAAATATTTCAAGTTTTTAATCAAGAAACAATGCCTTTTAGTCAACATTTTGTTTTATCATTGTTTATTTCATCGTTAGTTTTCTATTTTTGTTTCTTTTGCCTTCTCTGAGTTCTCTTTTTCATCTGAGCATTTCTCTCTTCCTCAATTTCTCTAATTTTTTAAATTCATGTTATTTTTTTTCTAAAAGAGTTATACTTTATAATTCTTAGGATGAAGAACTCGTATTTTTCTAGGATTATGTATATCAAGTATATTATTATTAAGCTTATCATAAAACACTTTCTAAAGCAGCTCAGATAGGAATATCTAAGAAAGGCTTCTGAAGAGTCTAAAATTGATCTTTTTAAATTGTTAAAAAATATGAAAAATATACATAAAACTGATATTGCCAAAATGAATAAAAATGCTAGTTATAGCAATGAATGAATTTGCAAACTTTGAAACATTGAGGGTTAAAAGTTCTCAGAGAATAAATGAAATTTTGAAGGGAAATTTTTATGTTACCTTGATTGCTGTAGAGTTTCTATCTAGGTGAAAAAATAAAAATAAAGAATGAATTGCATATTTTCTTCTTTCTTCCTGTTACCAGATGAAGCAAACCTTAATTAGATCCCAGTTTTCTTGTACTTACAAAGATGACTGCCTGACAAGCAGGAATACATGGAACAATGTTAATTCAGCATCAAAGCCATTGTGTGTTCCTCACATGGAAAATGACCTTTCTGGTAATTGATTTTATTTGAGCAATTAAATAACAGTTTAATTCTAGTGTAGTAATTGTTTTTAACTCAAGTAAAGCCAGATTTTTTTCATGCAAAGTATAAAATGTGAAATGTAAAGTTTACATTTTTAAAGCCTTTGGTTTACTTAAAAAGTTAAATCTAAGTACAAATTTATAGATATAAATAGGATATAGTTTTATTTAACTAAATGTTTTTAAGAAATAGCTCGTTGCATTTAAGGATTAAGTGTCATGCATTCAAACAAAGCAAATAATTTGTTTTTTATAGGGATAAAAAGTGATATGGTAAAATAAAAAGTAATGTAGTAGTAATATAGTTGTATTTGTTAATCATGTAATTTATAGCATTATTTGATTGCAAATTATAAATTTTTGACTAGTTTTTAATTGTTTTTAAAGGTTATTTTAAAATTCTCATGTGTAATAATACTAAATATTATATTATTCCTTCCTCTTTTTATCTTGCATAACAGAAGGTGTCAATTCTTCTGTTGGAAGACCAATAGTTGGAACAAGATCTGGAAATGTTCATCCGGACAGAAGTAAAAATGAAAAAGTAGAAAGAAAATCAAGTAGTCAAACAGGAAATAAAAGCTCAAAAAGGAAACAGGTGGATTTAGATGATGAAAATATTCTCTGTGATAATGGAAATGAACTACGTCGACATAAAAATGTTAAGTTACCTAAGACATCAAACGATTTGCAGAATAAATTGGATGGCAAACTAGCCAGAGGAGCAAAAAACCAGTGTACCGCCAAGGACAAATTGATTACTGGCCAGACAAAGTTAACTCAGTTTTTTAGACTGTGAATTTGCTTTTATGTGCTTTAGATTTATGTACATATAAAAACATCCATCAAAGACATTTACCCAATTTTTAAGAGATGGTATAAATTATGATGCCTTATTATGTAAGCTTAGTATGTTAAGCATTGTTTAAAAAATACCACTAAGTCATAATTATGCAGAATATTCACAAAGTTTAATGCACAGATAAAGCATATCATTTAGATTACTGATATCTCTGAATACTACTTTTAAAACAGACATTTAAAATAATACAAGTCATAGGAACATTAAGGGCTTTTTCCCCCACAGGCAATCAAGTGATTTTGTTTTCTTCTGAAAAGATGATGTGGGCCAACAGGTATCATCAGACTTGCCAGCACGGTCGGTAGACTCTCCCCAGCATGCATCTGAGCACTGAAGGAAAAAAAAAAGTTTAAATTGTTTAAAGGACTGTTATTATCACACAAAATTTACTAGAACTAAAAGACTGAATCAAGTGTATCTAATTCTGAGGAAATAAAAAGTATAATAACTAATTACATGATTTTTAATTCCACATATTTGGCAGGGATTACTTAATATCAAGTGTAATTGAACCATGTTCTTATTTAATTTTATGATTGGATTTAAATTCAGTTAAACTCAGATTTCTGTTTTATGGTTTTAAGATATAAGAATTGAATTTTAAAGGACTACTCACTGTCAAAATCTCTCCTTCCTATAGGAAATTTAGCTGAGTTTTCTTCATCCCCCATTTCTCTCTTTTCTTGTGTTGATTCAGTATTCTGAACTCCATTCTCAGCTGGAAAAGCTACAGATCCTTTTAGTGCAAGATAAGGTTTTCCAGCCAGATTCAGTGGCAGACCATGATTTAAGAAATTATGTTTGGAGCCTGCGTTCTGTAAAGAAAAGGTTTATTTGTGTTTTAGCTGTCTTTTTGGGAATGGTAATATAATACAGATACATAATGTTCTTATTGATCAATTCAAAAGTGCTCTGCACTGATTTGCCTTTTTAAAAATACCTTAGATATAAAGTTTTTTTTGAGACAAAAACCTTTTGGAAAGGAGTTGTCCAAAAACAATCTGGTATGTATGGAATTTCATCAGTCTTAATGTATATTGTGAGTATTTGCACATAGCTTCTGTTTATAAAAGTATTGACTTTCATATGGTTCACAAAAATCATTCAAATATCCATTGAAATAAAGGGCAAGTCATATTGCCACTTACCTTTGAATTTTTGTTTTCCTCATCGTTCATGAAACTGCTTTCATCATTTTTATATTGTTCCAGGATAGGAGCAACGACTGATTTTTCTGCAGTATCTTCCTTCTGAAAGGCTTTCCCCAGCCTAAATGTGTTGAATACCATGTCATCTTCTAAATTTCTTACGGACTTGGATGCTGAAAGGAAAATGCCTTGAGAAAGCAAAGAAAAAGTTAGTATTAATACGTAGGAAGAGAGACTCATTTTTGCCATTCTTAGTTCGATGTTTGCATCGAGTTAAGCAAGGAAGTGTAAAATGAAGACAATTTCTCAAACTGCTTCATAAATGATTCCTACCTTTTATATATTTTCCAGCTTGAATAGAAAGCACTTCAAAGACAGACTTTCATCATTTGAGAAATGAGTAATCAGATAGAGGCTAACCTTTTGTATAGCTGCTAATACCTACATTGTTTCGATTTTAGTGGCATATTGTTTATTTTGAGTGAATTTTCTCAGAATCTGATTACAATCTTTTGTAGAATGCTTTCTGTTGAGCAGATTATAGTCTCTTGAAAATGGGTTATTAAGGAAGACTACAGGACGTCAGGCTCTCCATATTCTTATTGTTTCCTTCTGTATATTTAGTTAAGATTAAAACTAAACTTATTTCACTCGGTGATGATAAGGATAAAAGTTTTATTTACTGTTAATCCTGATTAAATTGAAATAATCTTCAAAAAAAACATTTTCTTTCATAAATGCTTGATAGAGTCTTTGGCGAGTCACATGTATATTCTGTCAGTGTCAACAAAAACTCATTCATGCTATATCTAAAATTGACCTGACAGGTGTGTTTTATCTCTGCACTTACAAAAGAATGTTACTGATATTTAGTAATGAATTTAGCAGTTAAATAATATTAAGTTCATGAAGAGAATATTTATGTGCTCTATAAAAATTTGGAAGATGATTATGTCGTACAATTTTAAATTAAACATTTCAGAGTTAATTTTGTAATTTTGACCCCACCAGGTAAGAGAACAACACATTCTTGTATATTTATTTCGGTACATATGTGCAAGAGTTTTTCTAGGGTATATATCTAGGTATTGAATTATTAGGTCATAGAATATATGCATGTTTAGTTTTACTGATACCAAAATGTTTACAGAATAGTAGCAACCAATTTAAGCTCCCACCAGCAGGGGATGAGAATTCCCCATTGCTCCATGTCCTAGCCAATACTTGGATATCTTATTCGCCTTTTAATTTGTATTTCTTTAATTATCAAAGAGGTTGAGTCTATATTTGTATGTTTGTGAGCCATTTATCTTTTCTCTTATGTAAAATGCTCTTAAAAAGTATTTGTTCATTTTCTATTGGGTTGTTTGAAAATGGGTTATTAAGGAAGACTACAGGACGTAGTCTTATTGATTCATGGGAGTTCTTTATACATCTGGATATTAATTCTTTGTTATTTATATGTACTCTGAGATCATTAACATATTTCTATATTCTAAAACTTTAAATGTTTTGACTTTCACATTTAAATTCTTAATTTATCTGGACTTTTGTGTGTGGTATAAGAGATACAATTTTACTTTTTTCCAAAAGTCCTTACACATTTCTTGAATAATTCATCCTGTCTCCACAAATCTGCAGTGCCATCTCTGTAGTATATTAGGTTTCTATACATGTGTGGGTCTTTCTGAGCTATTTATTCCACTGCTAGATCTATAGTCTTATTATAACTTTAAAATAATTTTTGATATTTGCTGGGACAGGTTTTTCAACCCTCTACTCACCCATCAGTTTTTCTCCTACAGCAGTTCCTTGGGTATATTACTCATTTCTTTTCCTTATAAACCTTAATATCAACTTTCAAGTTCTATGAGAAATCTCAATGGGATTATGACGGAAATTGCATAGGTTCTATAGGTTGCTTTTGGAGGGGAATTGACACCCTTAAGATAACTTATTTTTTTATCCATAAACATGATTCTTTTCCATTTTTTTTAGATCTTTAATTTTTTAATAACATTTTATTGTTTTCTTCATAAAGGTCTTGTATATCTTTTGCTGGAAGAATTATAATTCTTTATAATTATAGTTAAACTTATTTTTAGTTATTGTAAATGGTATCTTTAAAAAAAAACTACCTTTACTACCATTATTGCTGATTTGTGTACATGTAATTGGCTTTTGTGTAGTACTCATATATAAACTTCTTAATACCAAATAGTTTATAGATGTATTAACTTGGAGGGTTTTCCATGAAGACAATTGATATAAAGTAAGTCCTTCTATATTTGTATGTGTGTGTGTTTATCTCTGTGTCTGTCCTTGTGTGCATATACACTGACCAAAGCTTCCAGTAAATGTTGGAATTGGAAATAACAGCTTTACAGATTTACTGATTTTACAGAGAATGCTTTTAATGTTTCATCACTGAGCATGATGTTGGCTATAGGTTTTTTATAGACATTCTTTATAACTTGTTCTTCTATTTCTGGCTCATTAATAGTTTTTCTCATGAATTGTTGTTAATGTTACTGAATACTTTTTTCGCAGCTATTGAGACGATCACATCATTTTTCTCCTTCAGTCTTTAATTTAGTAAATGAACAGATTTTTCTCATGTCAAATCAACCATGTGTTCATGACTCAAACCTTAAAAAAAAATATTACTGGATTCAATAGATTGATCTGTAATTTCCCTGTCTTATATTGCCTTTGTCTGGTTTGGCATTAAGGTTGTACTAGTTTCATAAAATGAACTGTGGAACAAGATTTATTCCTTTTCTTTGCTCTCCTATAAAACTGTTTAGACTTGGTGTTTTCTTGGTGAGATTTTTTTTTTTTTTTAAATGATTGATTCACTTTTTTCAGTAACTGTAGGAATGTTCAGCTTCCCTCTTTTTTAGTTTGTTTTGAAAATATTTTATTGTAGAATATGTCCATTTTACTTGTTTTCAAATTTGCTAGTATAAAGTTATTAATAATTGTCTTCTAAATATTTTAAGCCTCACTCCATCTCTAATTGTATCTCATTCTAATTATGTTTATTTGTGTCCTCTGTCTCTGCCTCTCTCTCCTCTGCCTCTGTCTTTTGGTCAGTCTTGCTAGAAGTTTATGAATTTTGTTAGACTTTTCAAAAAACTAATTTTTGGCTTTGTTGATCTTCACTATATATTTTTTTCTATTTCACTAATTTCTTTTTATTTATTGTTTTGAAGTTTATTTTGTAATTTTTCTAACTTTTTAAATTGGAAAGATAACTCAATATTTAGACTTTTAAAAAAATCAGCATTCAAGGCTCTATATTTCCTTATATGTATTTTTGCTAGGTTCCACAATTTTGATAGAATATTCAATATTTAGTTCTACGTTTTTATAATTTTCATTATTATTTCCTCTTTGACCCATCAATTATTTAGCTATTTTTAACATTCCAAATATATGGGAATTGAAGTTTTGAGGGAGAGGGTACCGAGTTCCTGCTAACTAGGGTTGTTGTCAGAAATCTTAGTCTATAGAGTATTTGAAATCTGTGTAAGATTGAATAATATGTAACTAATAATTTTCAACTGTTTTTGATGTACAGGTAGTAATTTCATATGGTTCTTCATATAGAAATTTGCCTATAATATCTTCAGTTTGCATTAAAAATTCTATTTATTCTTGAAAAGAGTATGTATACATTATTGTTGACAGCAGGGTCTATATGTGTCCATAAGATGAAACATGCTTGTATATTGTTTAAATCTTGCATGTCTTATTGATTTCTTGCCTCATGAACTATCAGTTACTGAAATATTTGCAAATCTTTCACTGTAAGGGTTTACAATCTAATTCTTTTTATAGTTTGCAATTTTTGCTTTATTTATTTTGAGCTTATGTTATTAGGATGTTCAAATTGGAAATAGTTTCATCTTCCTCATAAACCAAACCACGTATTATGACCCTCTCTAGCTTTAACAATGTGTCTGTCACTATCAGTTTTTCTCTATGTTTTAGATGTGTCTATTGTAAATATCGTGTAGCTCAATTTGAATTTGGAATTTTTAGTCTAATATCTTTTTCTTAGAGAGTGTAGTCGATTTACATTTATTCTGTTTACTGAATTACTGAGATTCAGTACTACTATTTTATTTTGTGAATTTTATTGTTCTAATAGGTTCCCTCCTCCCTCCTTTTCTTGCCTTCTACTTTACATTTAATCTATTTTTCATTCTTTTAGAGGGTACCCTAAACATTTTAATATCATCTTCAGTTATTTACATTTAAAGTTAATAAGTATTTTTTACTCGTCTCAGGTAATGTAAAGACCTTAGAATTTTTAACTTCAGTCACCACTACTAATTCATATTGTTTTATTTTCTAAAACTTAAGTTCTATCTTGATTTTTAATGAAACAAGTTAGAGATTATTTTGTTTTATATAGTTACATTTTTTCAGATTTATCTACTTTACTTTTTTTCACCATTTTTTTTTTTTTTTACATCTGAGCTCTTCCTTTCATAGCCATATATCTTATTTTCTGAACTACATTTTTCTCAGATATTCTAAAATGCTACCTTAGTGAGGGTCTGTTAGTAGTGAACTAAGGTTTGTTTTAATGAAATATATTTTGCTATTCTTGAACAATGGTGTTAGTGACTATATAAATATTCAGTTGACAATTATTTTCTCTTAGTACTTTATTGTTTCAGTTTCTTCTGGTTTTCATTGTTACTGCTGAGAATGTAGTTGTTTTAATAACGATTCCCTTATAGGTAATCTCTGTATTCTATCTGACTGCTGTTAAAATCTTCTCTTTGGCTTTGACGTTCTGCTTTGATGTGTCACATGATGTGTCTGGATTTCTTTTAAGTTTATGTTTGTTTAGATTCTTGAATCTGAGGGTTGGTGTTTCTCATAAATTCAGGAAAATTGTTATTTATTATTTCTTTGAATTTCGCCTCTCCCTTGTTCTATTTCTCCTTCTGGAATAGATATATCTTGGGCTTCCCTGTTCATTTTATTCTCCGTGTCTTTTAACCTCTCTTTCCTATATTCTCTTTTTCTCTCTGCTGCATTTTAAATAATTTCTTCGGGGTTATAGTCCAGTTCACCAATGCACTTTCACTTGTATCTAATCTGATGTTTAACTGTGTATTGAGCTTTTATTTTTAATTTAATATCTTTTATTTTTAAAAGTTCTCATTTCCTTTTCAGATCTGCCTGGTCAATTACAGTTTTCTAGTTTTTATTCAGCATGTTTTCAATCTCTTATTGTTTTAAATCTATAAAACACATTTTCATTTTTAAATGTTTATTTCATATTTGAATCTAATTATTTCAGTATCTTCTATCTTTGCGTATCTGATTCTGCAGTTTAATATTTCTGCTGATCCTAGCTCATGGTGCCTTCATCATGTGTTTAGTGACTTTCCATTTTGTGCATATATTTATTGAACTGTATCCAAAGGAATTCTTGATATTCCTGTGTTTGCTTTTGCCAGGCACCTGGAGCACTACCATTCTCGGGCCACTTTAAACTAAAATTTATGCATCAGGCCACAGTCGGTACAAATACCAAACTAAGTGCCTTTGCCATTAGGAATTCTTAGAACTATATGTATATTTCTCCCCATTCTCTCCTTTCTTCCCAGAGCCATTTCTGACCCAGGCATGTCTCCTTCTACTAGCTGGATTTTTTCTAGTTTAATTCTTTATGCGGGTTCCAAGCTTTATGTGAGAGTTTCTAATTTGCTCTCTCATCTTACATAGGTCCTGAGTTTTGCCTTTTGCTCCAGCACATATGGGTCATTAAAACCAGGTGGCTGGTCACCAGGAATTTGGTAGAATCTCTCAGAGCACATGCCGTCTCTAATCCTTGTTAACCCCAATGAAATATCCTAGTTTCCCATAGGAAACCTCCTCTGGTTTTGTTTATTTTACCACCAATTCAGCAATACTTTATGAAAGATGTGTTTTTATTTTTTTATTTTATTTTATTTTTATAAAGATATTTTCATCTAGCATTTTAAAGTATTTTTTATTGAGAGATGTTCTCTACACAAGTAGTCTGCCATATTGCTAGAAATGGACATCTCAATTCATCCTTAGTGGAAAATTCTCTCTGTAACGGAATTTCAATCATTTGCACAAAATGTACATGTATTGCATATCAAATTATTTCTTTTTAGTTCTCATTTTATAGGGCTATATTTTAAGTTCTGAAATGATATTGTTTAATATTCTGATTTCTTTAAATATATTTTATCAGAGATGGGTATAGTTAGCTGTTGATTCTCTTTGAGACTGTTTAAATCTTATTAGGCATATGTTTTCTGAGAGTGTACTTATCAGACTCTGGAATCCTCTGACTTCTTTGTTCATGGGGCTTTTTAAAATCTTTTTAATGTTCAGTTTTGCCCTGGTTTCTCAGGGTTTGAACCTGCTTTGGAGGTGGCTGTTTAATCAATAAAAGTCCTTGCCAGTAGTAACCTTTTTTCTTAGCTGCTATTCCGGAAGTGTAATAAATATCAATAATTATGTATTTTGTTTTAAATTTCCACTGGATGAATTGGTTTGGCTGATCTTCACCTGCAATTTGGACTGAATCCAAACCATTTTGATGGTTTAGAAAAGTTAGTTAATGTTTTATTTTGCTTAAATTGTCATAGCCTCTGAACATTATGAGGTTTCTTATAATCATTTAATTATGGAGATTCTTTCCAATTTTTTTTA